GTAAGTGGTGGTGTTCTTACAAGAAGAAATTGTGCATTAAATCAGCATCGGTGAAACATGCATTTGTAACTGGACATTCTTTCTCAGGAGCAGGACAGACTGAAGCAGATCCTGTGTCTGTATTGCAGCTGTGCAGCATATAAAGGGCACTAACATGTCCAAGGGAAACAAGGATGAAGCACTTAGGATCTCATCCCTGTGATAAGCTAACCAGCAGAGTTAGGCAGGTACCATTAAGATTCAGAATATCCTTCCGGTAACCAAATGAAACCTGAAGGCTTGCTGTGGGAACCAGAGCCATAGGCTCAATCCCACCGTAAACTAGTGAGTAGTACTCCAGGCTATGACCACTGACTATATTCTAGAACAATGTACACAGTAAGTGCTCAATAAATGTGCATCCAGGTGAATTGAATATTATTATTCAGCAGTGACAGTTGGCAAAAAAGGTGACAGCAAATATAATTATCACCAGCACTATGCCCAATAGAGAAAACACAGTCCTGTGTGAACTAGCTTTCTGTTTTATTCTAGAAGACTAAACTACAATCCCCCAAACACAAACACATGCCAGATTGTTAGCTCTGTAGATGAGGGAACCATATCTTATTTATCTCTGTGTCCCCAGAATACCTAGCACAGAGCCAGACACGTTTGAAGTGTCAATGTTTTTTGAATTGAATTATATTTGTTCGGCTGGCGTGGGAGTTAAAAAGATGTTGACTAGTAATTCACCATTCCCTTCCCTGGAAGCTCTGTAAATCAAGCTCTTAAAAAAAGCATAAGCTAAATTCCAAAACCCTCTCTTAGGAGAAATGCCCACGGCTGGTGGGGTCTGGACTATGTCCACCAAATGTGCAGATCTCTTCTGCACAAACATCACTTACTCCCAAGGGAGCCCCTGACTGGCTGGCTGGCTGTGGAGACTCACACGTTCTCTCTTTCCCAATGGCAGGAGGGTCAGGGGAAAAGGGTGGGAGTCGGTGACGAAGCACTGCTGAACTAAATGTTCTCCTCTTCCCAGGAGAGGGAAAATCTCCAACAGTAGGAGTGTTGGCACTTTTCTAGAGGAACAACCATAAAGAACATAGGATATAGCTGGAAATGATCTTTTCTGAAGACAAGTTTTTTTTTTTTTTTTTAAAGGGCCACCCTCCTCTTCCTCTTACCTTAGACTGAAACGGCACTATTGGAATGGCTTTGTCAGAGCTGCTAGAATCCTACAAGCTGGGATCAAAGCTGACTGGGCACGTGGAGGCATAATATGTGATATGAGCTAAGCAGCCATTAGGCCAAGATCCTTACTTTTTCTAAGTTTATCTAAGAGCAACAACAAAACAGAAACAAAATCAAAACAGTATTTGCTAAAAAGGTCTTTTCCTTAAATGTGCTGAGCTGGGTTTGAAGAAACTGGAATGGAAAATACTGATTTTTCTGGAAGACAACCAAAACACAACTCATGAATCCCCTAAGCTCTCAACAAATTCTCCTGAAGATTTAATCACAATATAAAATCCACAAGTTTTTATTGGCAATGTTTGGTCATCAACTGCACAACTCTCTGAAGTGGCAACCAGTACGACTCCCAGGTCTGTCTCCATTACCCATTCCAGGGCCTGCTGGCAAGGTCTGACTGGTGCCCTGGTCTAGCCTAGGAAATTCTTTCCAGGGTCAAGTTCTCCTGGCTATCAAGTTCTCTACTTATAAGGTGCAGATAAAAAGATTAGCACTAAGAAAGATAAAAAGAAAGCCTGCTACCGTAAGTGCTTTAACATACAGTTTCTTTATCAGAGTGTAGTGTTTTTAGGAATACAACGGCCCAGCTCACTTGAGCCATTGTGCTGAATCGGTGGGACTTACTTTACCTTCCCATGAACTCGTGAGAGCTCTGATGCCACCACCTATCAAGCGAGGTCTCCTGTGCTGCACTTATAAAGGAAGCCATCTGTAGCAACTCTCATCTGGGGAGAACCAAAGCCATGAGGACTTGCTCCTTTAACCTACACACAGTCAGCTGATATGGAATCCAGATTTGTCCAACCCTGGAAATCAAGTCAGTCACTCAAAGACCATCTTTTTCTGGTCTAGGGTTTTCTTCTCTCCAGTTCCTTAAGATACCCATTTCCATCTCCAGACCCACCTGAAGCAAATATTGGCCTCAGACCACAGGACAGACACCAAAGAGTACCTCAAAGAAGAGAGAAGACAATCAGATATAGAACTAACTGTAAAACTCTGAGATACTCAGCTCCTTGTACTTGTCCAACCTTGGACAAGCCACTTAATAGCTTTACAGAGCCCTACTTTCTCTTCAGCAAAATAAGTATAAATAGTTATTTTTCTCTCACCAGTCTCTCTTCAGAGCAATTATGACCAAGTGCAATTATCTTGTTTACATGTTTATTTATTTTCCATTTCTCACTATGCTTCACTAGCTTATAATCTCCAAGAGTTCAGGAACCTTGTCTGTTCGGTTCATCAAAGAGGCCTTCTGCCAGGAATAATGATCAGCGTGTAGCACATGATCAGGAGGAGTGAATGAAATTTGAGTGAGGGAGGGAGGGGAGAAAGGCAAGAAGGGAGGACAGAGAAGAGGGAGGACACGGTATACGGAGCATTATTGAGGTGCCATATATGAAAGTGGTCTGTACATTATTATTACAACTATAACAGCTGATGCATTAATTATACCAGAGTCATCTTTTAAAAATATAAGCTAGATTGTATTGTTTTCCTGCATAAAACCTTCCTCTGGCTTTTCATACTATGTACAATAAAGTCCAACATCTGTTAGCTGGCAAAGCCCTATGTGATCTATGTGGCCTCACGTCCAACCAGTCTCCCCCTTCTCTGTCAGGCCCCCATCATTCTGGTGTCCTTGTGCTTCCTCAAACATTCCTAGACCATTCCTGCTTTGGAGACTTTGTGCTAGCCCCTTCCCCTGCCTGAAAGTTCCTCTACAAAATCCACATGGCTGGTTCCTTGTCATTGGGCTCTTGGCTTAAATGTCACCTTCTCAGAGAAGCCTTCCTATATGTGCACTCCAAAAGAGCCCGTACTAAGTTCTTGTCATAGTACTCTATTATTTGTTTATTCATCTATTTATTATTTATCCTCTCCCTCCCCAGTGCCTGATGGTCAATAAATATTTAGTTTTGTGTGGCATTATATTTGTTTAATGCTGACACCTCATAGAGACTTTTCCATTATTATTTTGTTTTATCTCTACAAGTTTATGAGCCCAAATAAACAAACTGAAAATTACCTCTGCACTGTACATTAGTGTGTCCCTCCCACTTCTGTCAACTACACACACTTTGAAAGAGGCATTCCTGCCTGTGAACAAAAGCGACTATGCTAGTCAGTTTTAATACTTGCGGTTTAACTTGAGTTATGTACAATCAGTGATATAATCATTACTCAGTATTCTAACGTAGAGGGATTTTTTGGAGACATGGAAATGGTACTATTGGGTGCCACACTGGTCTCTGTTCTGGGTTCGGAGGCCTCCTGGCTCAGGGCAGGGATGAGAGTGGGAGGAATACCAGGTGGAAATAGGCAGAGGGAAGTAAATGGCAGGAACACTCACTGGTTCCACTTGAGTTTGCTTAGTGCAGACCCAAGGGCAGCAGTAATTCTGCAGGAAAAGCACTGGACTAGAGTGCAGGGATGGGTTCTAGAGCTGGCTCTACATATCCCTTCCCCTCCTCCTCCCTGGACTATCAGTTCCTCTGGTTTTTTAAAAAAAATGTTTTTCATTTATTTATTTTTGAGAGAGAGAGAGAGAGAACAAAGCAGGGAGGGGAAGGGAGAGAGGGAGACATTGAATCCAAATCAGGCTCCAGGCTCTGAGCTGTCAGCACTGAGCCCAACCCGGGGCTCAAACTCACAAACCCATGAGATCATGACCTGAGCCAAAGTCAGCCACTTAACTGATTTAGCCACCCAGGTGCCCCTCAGTTCCTCTGTTATAGGAGGTGCGACTGGATCTCCTCCCCAGTGCCCAGTGCAGAATCCCAGTGCTCATAGTCTGTGAGCTATTGAGAGAAGTCTGACCTTTCTCTGTGACCACGATGTCTGTGAAAAGGATAATCCACATAATATTCCTGATGAGTGCAGCTTTCTGGACTAAGTGGGGTCTCTCTGATTGGTGAAAACAGGCACCCACCAAACTAAGCTCTCTGCTCCTGCCATTCTTCTTTAGCCTTCCCTTCCCAGAGAAGCTAGTGTCCTGGGCAAATCCACACAGGGATAAACACCTAACTATAAGTGCACTGTAGCCACTCCCCAAGAGATGGGTTCATACTGCATCTGATCATGGCCAACACGCTCCCATCTGCTTTCAACATGTTGCATCTGACGTTAACTAATGTCTCCTATTAGCATTAAAAGAAAACAATCTGGAAAAATTCACTCTCAAGCAGAGTTCAAACAGGCCACAAGTAGATGTGGAATCTCAACTGAACAAGGTTTGTTAAAATAATGGTAGTAAGGGGCGCCTGGGTGGCTTAGTCGGTTAAGCGTCCGACTTTCGCTTAGGTCATGATCTCGCGGTTCGTCGGTTCGAGCCCCGCGTTGGGCTCTGTGCTGACTGCCAGCTCAGAGACTGGAGCCTGTTTCAGATTCTGTGCCTCCCTCTCTCTCTGACCCTCCCCTGCTCATGCTGTTTCTCTCTCCTAGAAATAAATAAAACAAAAAAAAAAAATTAAAAAAAAAATAATGGTAGTAAATAAATATATAAATATATCAAAATGCATACACATATATAAGTGTATATATGCATATATGAATATGTACACTGGTGTGTATATACAGATATGTGTAGTGAAGCCAAATGTCTGTGAAATGGGTCGAGAACAAAGACATGAATGCTTTTGTCCAACTTATGAAATTAACAGGTAACAGAGGGAGGAGAAAAATTCTCCCATTATGGAACAAGGCATAGTCAAAACAATTGAATCACATGGGAAGGGAGTTGGGAATCTTTATTTCACACTTACTGGTAATGGGTTGAAATTCTGGTCCACAAGATGATTGTATCCATGGTCAAAAAACGAATGTCGTATCACAACGTCAATGCCCTGATTTGCCAGCATTCCTAAAGTGTTCAACCATCTAAAAAGCAGAAACAAAAATGCTACATCAATACATCTTAAAAGCGGCATATTACAAGCTTTGTCGGGATTGGCTAACACACACGCATATACACCAACCCCCACCATGAAATTTATCTAATACTTTAAAGGAGAAGATTATTTTAAGCAGTAAGTACATAGCTGGAAGACATTTTAGGGATTTTCAAATCCAACCTCTTCATTTTATAGGAAAAGAAGCATAGTTCCAAAGGAGGAAAATGAATTGCCCTTGGTCATAGAATATTTTGTTGCTAATGACTTACTCCTGTAAAGAAGTAAAATTTAAAAAAAAAAAAACTCAAATGAATACCCTAACCACTTGTAAGCCTAATTATCATCCTCCCACCCCCTGGCCATGAGACACACAATCACAGGAGCATACACACTAAATTCTCTGTCACTCCGACCTCTCTGCTTGCACCCTATCACCATACATGTGACTCTAACTAACATACTTGTATGACCTATAGGTTCAAGAAGGGTTCAGCCATTTGCATCCCTCATATATCACTGTCAACAGTCAATGAAATAATAATTTTCCTTGGCATTATAATTAACCATGCAGAGATTCAAGTATGCTACCCTTACATGTGTCATAATGAAGGACCTGCACTGCTCACACATTATCACATATTCCACTATGCCAAATACCCACTTTCCAGAGAATGCTATCCTTCAAAAGTATTGCCCTCTTGGTTCTTCCAACACCCACTACAAACTCTTTGTTTATTACTTATGCATTCAATTTGTTTACTCATTCACTCATTCATTTAATTTTCTCTCTGTATTCCTAATTTTGAAACTTGGGGAAATTTCTAATTGTAAGAATATATGTATAATAACTGTGTCTGAAAGCTTCAGTCTTCCAGTATAAAAGATAAAGCATTCCACAATCTTTTCTGAGCATGTATATGAGCCTTTATCTGTACCTCTTCTCTCAACCAAAACTCCATTCATTCCCTGGCTCTAAGCCACATAAAACTATTCTTGGCTGCCTCCAAATGAGCATGCTTTGACATACTCATTGGAGTCTTTATACATGCTTTAATGTCTGCTTAGAATTCCCATCCTCTCCTCCTCTAACTCACTGCATCTGGCAAATTTCTTCTCAACTGTTCGTTTCCAAGTCAAGTGTCATCTCCTTCCAAACCTTGTACCTTTTTCCTCTGTACCTTCCCAGAACTCTTATTTATATCCTCTGCCCACCCATGATAATTTCTTTCTTTCTTCTATGCTCTTTCCCCGTTGGTTATGACATGCTCATTGAGAACAGACACAATGTTTTTAGCTTTGTACATAAAACACTCATCTCAGTCCCTAGCATACTGTGGGTGCTTCACACTCTGTTAACATTGATCTGGACAAAATTAGATTGGAGGAATTTTGAGAATCACCATTCAGCATACTAGGGACAAATTATGCATAGCTATGATTTCCCTAATTTGAAACCATATGGAACAAACGAGTGACTTGTAGAATTAAACTTTTTCCTTTACTAGAATTAAGAGCATTGCTAATTTTTATATTATGAATGAATATTATTAACATTTTCAAATCTTTTTCACATTGACAATTACTTTATTCTCATAAAAACTAACACATATTTACTGACAATTAGAGTTATAAAACAAAACAAAGCAAAATGCAAAAACAAAAGTTTTAAATCAAAAAGAAAATCCAACAATTATATAATAGAACTTTTGTTGTTGTTGTTGTTATTGTTGTTGTTCAGATTGGGACACTGTGACCCAAGAACTGAAATTACTTTGGGAATATCATACAGCTAAGCTATTTGCCTTTATTAGTTTTATTAATTTACCAACTCCATTTGGTTTTTCCTTTAGCCACTGAGACACAGTATTAATATCTTGGGGTAGAACTATCACATAAATTCTGGGCTGATGCCTCCTAAGTCAGTGCTCTTTCCACCAATGTAGCACAAATACAACATGGTGTATATCTAATAACTCTTTATCTACAAAAACAAGTATGTCTTACTTGCCCTTCTATCCCTATGCTTGCTGAATGAAGAAATGAAATGATGACTTAACACATAATCACATCTAGCAGCAGCTGGATATCAATGTATTTTGGTATTTAAAATATTCCATTTGGGGGCGCCTGGGTGGCTTAGTCGGTTAAGCGTCCGACTTTCGCTTAGGTCATGATCTCGCGGTTCGTGGGTTCAAGCCCCGCGTCGGGCTCTGTGCTGACTGCCGGCTCAGAGCCTGGAGCCTGTTTCAGTCTGTGACTCCCTCTCTCTCTGACCCTCCCCTGCTCACACTGTCTCTCTCTCTCTCTCCTAGAAACAAATAAAAAAATTAAAAAAAAAATTCCATTTGTTCATTCATTCGTTATTCATTCAACAACATTAATTAATCAGCTGTAAATGCCACGCTTTGTTCTCAGCATTGAGGATAGATATGAAAATGCTCGTGTGACCATGTAAGTCATTTGTAAAGCACTGGATATGTCAATACCTGTATTCATTAATACAAATGTATAAATTTCTACTTGTGACCTCTACAGACCCTATAACAATGATCTGCAAAGAATATATACTCAACAAATGAATGTTGACTAGTAAATCTGGGTTGTCTTTGTGTTGATGTTGTTTTGCTTGTATGGGCAGTTTCTGAAGGAATTCTGAAGGAAGAATATGCATCCTCCTATCCAAACCCATATCCTCTATGCACGTTCTGGTCTGGAGCATTCAAAAGGACTATAACCAGAACCCCTCCTTCCCTGTGCTTTTCAGAGTGGAACCGTTTGTACTGAAGTTGTCTTCCTCTTCCTCTTGTAAATAATAAGCACTCTGAGAAGGGAAACAAATGGTGTTCCAAATCTCCCTTTCATGCACAAATACAGAAAAGTGGCAAGATGACTGGTATATCTGACCAAGGATACTACTGCAGCCATTATTTTCCATTCCACAAAAATTTATTGAATATCTACTGGGTGGCAGACACTACTGGGTGCTAGAGACATAGCAGGATGCCAAGGGTAGATCTGTAGTGCATCAGAGAATTACAAAGCCCTGACTGGGGAAACTACCCCTGAATACTTGGCAGCAGCAGATTCTGCTTCATGCATAAACGCTCAAGTGTCCTGGCAAGGTCTCAGTTGTGCTGTATATTGAAAAAAGCCTGAAAAGTGCCTTTTTCCAAGGAATCTTGCTAGCCTTCTGGAGCTTCTTGGAATGCTTTAATTTCTCCCCACCCCAGAGGAAGCAATTTATGCCCCTTGGAGAACTAGACTCAAAGGACACTTGGCTGGATACTGCCAACGGAGGTGAGAGCAAATGGGTTATAAAAGGTAAGAGAACCAGGAGCCAAGGGAGCTAGTTTTCATTTGATTTGTGTCAACCACACACTGGACACCTGAACTACAACCTAACCCTGAACAACTCTGTTGATCTGGATTTATTGCAAAGTGACTGCAGAGATCTATGGATATTTGGCTTGTGTTCAGATATCTTTCCATTCTAGTTGCCCCCAAGAAAGGCTGTGGTGTCTCATTTCACATCATTCCCTAAAGGAAAAAATGCTCAGGAAAACATTCAATTACAATTGGGCTGCTTGCTGGCCTTGCAGCAGAATCTATGATGGCTGAGCCAAAGCCATTCCTCTGCTGATTCTAAGAGACCCCTCCCTGCAGTACTAACTGCCACTGGCTCTCACCCTTGCCCCACGGCTCATGGTGAAGCCTGGTGGGGAGCATATTATTGAAAGAAGACTCTCAGAACAGCTGTATCAAATGCTGATTCATTCCATTTCATTCATTTGAACTGCTCTGTGCCACTCAACGTTAGGTGCTGAGAACACAAAAATCAAAGACCTAAGGTATCATCATATATTCTACTGACTCATTATCTTCCTCTGCATGTGCCAGGATTCCATCTGCAAAGATAATCTGCTAGACTGGCTTGATTTGTCTTTTACAAATGTATTAAAAGGAGCCTTAATGGAGGGAAACTACATGTGTATAATTAGGAACAGCTGTTAGTAGTGAGACACAAAGCTGAGGCTTTGTGAGCTCACTTCTTAGGAGGACCTTGCTCAGACGAAAACCCATGGCCATAGGACAGGAACAGGGCACTTGGTTAGTCTGGTCCTGAGGGGTTTGTCCCTGCCACATGAGGCTGGCAGGCCAGTCAGTGCCCCTTATGCTTCTGGTGTCAAGCTGTTGTTCAGATAACTGCAGTAGCCTTCAAATCCACTCTTGTGCATACTATTCTCAGAACCAACATTTAAAAACACAGGTCAGATGATATTTCTCTCTTCCTCCAAAATCTTCAATGGCTAGCCACAGAGTATAGAACAAGGCTTCATATCCTTTGCCTGGCTTTCAAAGCCTTCCATGCTTGAAGGAAAACTCCTCCCTCGTCTCAACCCTCACTACATCCCTGCAGCTACTGAGGCTTTCCTCATGAGAAGCATTTCCCCTCCCATGTGCCTTTGCTGGTTATGTTCCTTCTGCCTAGCAAGCTCCCCTCCACTATCACCACCATTCTCCACCTGTAGATTTTAATCTTTCTATGTCTTGCCCAAATGCCACTTTGTCCATGAAGCCCTTCCTGATCCTCCCAGGAAGAGAAACTACTGGTTTCTTTGCATGACTACCGCTTCTTTTGAAGCAGAAAGAAAGATGGCCTAAGGTAGTGGCAAGAAGGCTAGACTCTGAAGCAGATTGCCTGGGCTGGAATCAAAGCTCTCACATATATCTCTTTGGGTTGTTGTAAAATAATAGTAACTGTATCACTGGTTGTTAAATTATTAGATATATAGAGAGCACTTCAGAAAGCATGTGGCACATATAGTTAAAATTATTATTATTATTTTTATTATTATTATTATTATGGCACTAATCTCCTACACTTTTCTTAGCTCCTCTTTTTGTTCCTCCAATCTTACTCTTACCTATTTCCTAGGACTATGGTGGAAAATGGATGAGAAATTGTATGTTGTCTGCACTGTGTTTTGAACTACAGACATTAAATAAAGGTCTTATAACTAATATGGTCACTACTACTCCTACTATTACTACTCTCTTTGCTCTGATGCCTGTGCCTGACATCTTAGGATCCAGGGAAGTCACTCATCACTATTTGTGAATGGGTTTAAACCAAGGAACAGATAAAGAACTTTCAGTAAGAAATGAATCTTCCCCCTCCAATAGGCATAATAAGGAGCCACTTCACTTTCTCTCCTCAGAGTCTCTGGGAATGAAATTGCGTATGTTACTCACAAGAATCCTGCAGCATAGGAATCTGATAGATTGTTTGTGCCTCCAGCTGAGGTGGTCACCACACCTTCAAGCCAAATCTTCTTTCCTGGGGTGTATGTATTAACCACCTGTTCACATAACAAAAGCAGAAGGGGATATGAGATTTTTAGAAGTTGTTCCCAAGTAAGAAGGAACACACATTCCCTTAAGGGAGTTCTGTTGATACCCTGCTCCTGGATGGTTATGATCTGTACTTTTTTCATGATGATTCACCCCATACAATGAGCTGGCATGCACACACATACACACACACACACACACACACACACGTGCACGCACATTAACACTGATACATGTCCACTCAAAAAAATGATCATTTTTTCCCTATGTAAACCCAACCGAAAATGTGACAATAGGACAAGTGCATTTTCCAGGACATAAACTGACTGCAACACCGACACAGGAAACTATAAATCACATTATGTCTCTATATTAACAAGTAATTTAAAATTTATTTTTTAATGTTTTTTATTTATTTTTGAGAGTCAGAGAGAGACAGCACGAGCAGGGGAGGATCAGAGAGAGAGAGATACAGAATCCGAAGACAGGCTCCAGGTTCTGAGCTAGTTGTCAGCACAGAGCCAGATTCACGCTCGAACCCACGAACTGTGAGCCGAAGTCGGATGTTTAACCGACTGAGCCACCCAAGGCGCCCCTTTATTAATAAGTATTGAGGAGGAAAATTTTTTAAGTTTTTTTTTAAAAAATGTTTATTCATTTTTGAGAGAGAGTGAGGGAGTGAGCATGAGCGGGGGAGCGAGCATGAGCGGGGGAAGGGCAGAGAAAGAGGGAGACCTAGAATCTGAAGCAGGCTCCTGGCTCTGAGCTGTCAGTGCAGAGCCCGACCTGGAGCTTGAACCCACCAACTGTGAGATCATGACCTAAGCCGGAGTTGATCGCTTAATTGACTGAGCCACCCAGGCAGGTGCCCCATAAAGGAAATTTTCTTAATATTCTGTTATGGCACATGCCAGGATAAATCTACTCTCCATGCATTAGAAGTCATGAATCATGAAGGCAGAGGTCAATGTTTGGGAAAAGTATTTTATAATCACCAGGGCATGTATATATTACAACCATATTTTGGAGAATAAGTACAGTGAGTATAAAAGAAATCACTGATCCAGGGGTGAAAGATCCTACCTAGGGAGGTTTCCAAGCAGATGAAAACCATCTTGATAAAAGGTGGCCCTCTGAAGTTTTAAAATCACCCAATCTCTAGTCCACAAGTTGAAGGCTGGCTATACTATCCAGATTAGGGCCCAGATCCGCTAGACAGCAATCTGGCAGTACTGAGGGATAATGTACTCTGGGTGCCCCTAAAAGCAGAGCCTGAGACAAAGGCTTATCTATAGGTCATTCATTGGGGAGATCATAAAAGGGAACAGGAATGAAGAACTGCAGGGCTGAATTAGGGAAAAGGGAAAACCAGTACCAGGATGTTTCCAAATTGGCAACCAGTGTTGTCAACTTGCACTCAATTCCACAGGGAACTTGGTAAGTTCATAAGACTATGAACTTGATAGCTATGTCTCAGAACTTTCTCCCAAGGGAATTCAAGGGGATGCATACTTATCCCTTGGCTCCTATCCTCCAAAAGGGCAAGAGTAGCCTTGGGACTATAATCTCTGCTTCTCCCCATCACCCCATTTAATTGTGTAGGCCTAAGAGTTGAGCAGGTTCCCGGAGTTCTGCATCTCTGCCTTAGAGAAGTCCCAGAGCAGGAAAATAAGAAGCGAGGTTGTACCACATCATGGCGGCACTGAGCTGGTTATAGCCTGTGTATCTGTCCAGCTCAAGTCTCTGCAGTAATAGTCAGTACAGGAGGTACAACTGGCGGGGGGGGAGGGGGGAGGTCTCATTTATCCACAAGGGGGGCTGGATAAAGACAACAGTGTATTTAGATCCGATGGCCTACCAATTTTTCTTTTAGACATACAAACCAAAGGAATTCTTCCTCAGGCCTCTAAGGAGACAAGTATGAGGATGTCATTGAGACAGGTTCCCATTGCAGGAGTAATGGAAAGGTAAAAGGTGGTAGATACATACCATAAAACATGATGCAACAGTTAGAACAACAGATTCAATGTAAATCTAGGAACATGAATTAGCTTTAAATATTTACTGGTGAGCTAAAAAAATAGCAACAGAATGAGATTTAGGTCACAATATTACTTATGTACTCAGTTACATCCAATAACATGAAATAGTTTATGAAGATACATGTCTCTTAAGGACATGTATCAAACACAGAAGGAAGGCTTGTTTAACAGGGAGGTTGAATGTGAGCACAGATTAGGGATCAAGGTTAAAGTTAAAACAAATGCAGGGCTTTTGCACAAACTGATGATAATAGTTTGATGTAGTTGAAGAGTAGTACGATTCTAACTTAATTCTCTGCATCTCAGATCCCAAAAAAGAAAACAATAATAGAAGACATAGCATAAATGCCATACTTTCCTTTTCCCAAACCTATAGGCAGACATCAACAAACAATCATATTCCTCCTGTCATCTCTCCCTAGGCATAACTGCTTGTCCTCTACCCTCATCTACTAGAATATTTGCATTGAGACACATTTTAGAACCAGAGTTGGCAAAGTGCTTGAATTTCTCAGGAAAAAAGTTGTGAAAATTTTTCACAAATTTGAGATAGAAGTAAGTATTGTGAGGTGCCTGGGTGGTTCAGTTGGTTAAGTGTCCGACTTTGGCTCAGGTCACGATCTCGAGGTCCATGAGTTTCAGCTGCACATCGGGCTGTGTGCTCTCTCTCTCCCCTTCCCCCGCTCATACTCTGTCTCTCTCTTTCAAAAATAAATAAATGCTAAAAAATTTTTTAAAAAAGGAAGGAAGGATTGTGATCAAGAATGAAAGAAAGACCCTGAGAATTAATAGTGGAGGTCAAATTGGAGTGTTATTAAAAACGGAATAAGAATTCCCCCTTATACCCAGAACAAGAAGAGTCACTGAGGACACCACAAGATAGTTCTCTCTCCCTTCTCAGTGCTGTTCACCATTCCCAACCCAAAGTGAACTGGAAATAGTATAAATAAGAAAACAAGAAAGACACCTTAGATGATCAAAAGACAGAGCTGTACGGTGAAACAGGACTGCACTGATGGTTCCCCTCAAAATATATTGCTGCAAAAACTGTTCTTGATAAACTTTGTGCTTCCTTTACAGCTAATGAGAGCTGAGCAATATATTTGTGTTTTCCTTTGTTGCCTTTGGGTTCCAAGATATTCAGAGTTTAATTTTTGTTCAAAGATAGATATTTAAAAAATATTTTTTAATGTTTGTTTATTTTTTGAGAGAGCAGAGACAGAGCATAAGCAGGGGTAGAGGCAGAGAGAGGGAGACACAGAATCTGAAGCAACTCCAAGCTCTGAGCCTGATGAGGGCTCAAACCTATAGACTGTGAGATCATGACCTGAGCCGAAGTCAGACGCTTAACCGAGTGACCCACCCAGGTGCCCCCAAAGATACATATTAAGGGGCACTTAGGTGGCTCAGTTGGTTAAGCATCCAACTTGTGATTTTGGCTCAGGTCATCATCTCATGGTTCATGAGATCAAGCCCCACATTGGGCTCTGCACTCTGAGAGCATGGAGCCTGTTTGGGATTCCCTCTCTCCCTCTTTCTCTATTTCTCTCCCATTTGCTCTCTCTCTCAAAATAAACATTAAAAAAATAAAAGTATAAAAAAAGACATTAAAATAAGGTAATTATAGAAAAGGGGTTAAACAAAACAAAAATGTAAAATTACAACATGATAAACTTAATTTTTTTTTTAATTTAGAGACAGAGAGAGCTAGAGCATGAGCAGGGGAAAGGGGCAGAGGGAGAGAGAGAGAAAGAGAGAGAGAGAGAGAGAGAGAGAATCCTAAGCAGGCTCCATGTTCAGCACAGAGCCCAACTCAGGGCTTGATCCCATGACCCTGGAATCATGACCTGAGCTGAAATCAAGAACCAGATGCTCAACTGATTGAGCCACACAGGTGTCCCAACATGATGAACCTTGAAATAATTAAGCCAAGTGAAAGAAGCCAGATGCAAAAGGCCACATAGTGTCTAATTCTGTTACATGAAATGTCCAGAATAGGTAAGTCTGTAGAGACAGAAAGTAGATTAGTTGTTTCCTAGGGCTGGTGAATGGAGGGGAGAAATGAAGTGGGAGCAGTGACTACAAATAGATATGGGGTTTCTTTAGGTGGTGATGAATATATTCTAAAATTAAATAGATGTTTTCACAATTATGCAAATACCTTAAAAACTATAGGATTGCACACTTTTAAAAGGTATGCACAATTTCATGGCATGTGAATTTTATCTCAAAATAAAGCTCTGTGTGTGTGAGCATGTGTGTGTGTGCGTGCGTGTGTGTGTTTGTTGGTGTCATTAGCAAAAGGAGAGGTAGAGTCTAACAGGCAAATAACTACTGTGGAAACAGTGAAGTACCCTGGAAGTTCTGGGTTCTACCACACACTAGCTGTGAGATTTTTGGCTTTTTATTATGTTGAACTTTCTTCATTGACATGTAAAGCCATGAATTTGGAGTAGATGAAATCTAAGTTCCTTCTAAATGCAAAATGTTAAAATGTATTAGTATTTTATAATATTATTGCCAGTTCCCTTGGCTCCTATCTCCCAACAGTCAAGAGTATCTTTGATCACGTAGGTGAAAATTACACAAACAATAAATATGAGAGGCAGAGCAATAGAAAAAGCCACCAGAGTGGATGAAATTACCCAAGGGAAATTTCTAAAAGTGAGACTAGAAAAGGGCTAAGGGTTTTCATCCCAAAACACTAAGGCATTACCAAATGCATTTATTCATTCACTCCAACCAATACTTATTGAGCACCTGCTATATGCCAAATAGATTCTAGGGGCAGGAATACAGCAGTGAGTGAAACAGGACAAGGCTCTATTCTCTTTGACTTACATTTTAGTCAAGGGGAAAAGACTAAAAATGAATGAGTAAATTAAAAAATAGAAGAAATTTGGAAATAATAAGAGCTAGGAAGAAAATGAAACAGAGTAATCTGATAGAAAGTAACTTGGCAGAGG